AATTGAGAGCCGCATAATTAGTAAGGCATGTCCATAGGTTTACCGTTTATGCCGGAAACATGGTTTTTTCGATTTTGACTGAATTGCTCGAGGCATGCACAAGCAACAGAGAGAGGGCCTCATAGGCCAGTCGACTATAAGGATAGGGCTGCTAGCGGCCTTTTGAGGCGCACGTCAGTCCACTCGCGAGGCCGGCGTCGGCGTTGCGTGGGTGTATATATACCAGCCTCTGCACGACTTCTCCTCCAGGCCACTACCTGCCGGTTCCTTCTCTCCTCTGCCGCGACCAATCCAGAACCGACCCAACACTTGTCCCACGACACAAACACAGCACAGCATGGCCGCTTCGGTCGAGCCACGGCAGTCGTCGTTCGGCCGCCTCGACGCGCCGGCCACCTCGCCGCCGGCACGCAGCGGGGCCTCCAACGGCATCCGTCGCCGCGCCGACTCGCCGGTGCGCGGCTGCGGCTTCCCCCCGCTCATCTCGCCGCCGCGGAAGACCCTCGTCGAGGAAGAGGAGGAGGACGAGGACGACGAGGAGCCGGAGGAGGACTGGCGGGAGGCGTACGGCTCGCAGCTGCAGCTGGAGGTGGAGCCGTCGACGCGCGACCCGCGCGACGAGGGCACCGCGGACGCCTGGATCGACCGCAACCCCTCGCTCATCCGCCTCACCGGCAAGCACCCGCTCAACTGCGAGCCACCGCTGGCGCGCCTCATGCACCACGGCTTCATCACCCCGGCGCCGCTCCACTACGTGCGCAACCACGGCGCCGTGCCCCGGGGCGACTGGGCCACCTGGACGGTGGAGGTGACGGGGCTCGTCCGCCGCCCCGCGCGGCTCACCATGGACGAGCTGTCCACGGCCTTCCCCGCCGCGGAGCTGCCCGCCACGCTCGTCTGCGCCGGCAACCGCCGCAAGGAGCAGAACATGGTGCAGCAGACGGTGGGCTTCAACTGGGGCGCCGCGGGCGTGTCCACCTCCGTCTGGCGCGGCGCCCGCCTCCGCGACGTGCTGCTCCGGTGCGGCATCATGTCCTCCAAAAAGGGCCAGGCCCTGAACGTGTGCTTCGAGGGCGCCGAGGACCTCCCCGGCGGCGGCGGCTCCAAGTACGGCACCAGCGTGACCCGGGAGTGGGCTCTCGACCCGTCCCGCGACATCCTGCTCGCCTACGCGCAGAACGGGGAGCAGCTGCTGCCCGACCACGGCTACCCCGTCCGCGTGCTCATCCCGGGCTGCATCGGCGGGCGCATGGTGAAGTGGCTCCGGCGCATCGTGGTCACCCCCGCCGAGTCCGACAACTACTACCACTTCAGGGACAACCGGGTGCTGCCATCGCACGTGGACGCCGAGCTGGCCAACGCGGAGGCGTGGTGGTACCGCCCCGAGTACATCATCAACGAGCTCAACACCAACTCGGTGATCACCACGCCCGGCCACGACGAGATCCTCCCCATCAACGCCTTCACCACCCAGCGCGCCTACACCATCAAGGGATACGCATACTCCGGTACGTGCGCCATCTCCATTTTCTTTACCTTCTTTCTTTCCAGAAAAAGTCAGAGGATCGACCGAAAAGAGAAGCTGCTTGGTAGATTTCTTCGTTGTCTTGTGGAGTATATACGTACATGACATGACGCCATCCAATTGGAGACTACTCCCTCCGCCCCATAATATAAGAACGTTTCTAACACTAATGTAGTATCAAAAACGTTCTTATATTATAGGACAGAGTGAGTATGTACTATGCTTCCGTACGCTAGCATTGACCATAATTAAGGAGGAAGGAGCATATATATACCATGGTTTATGTTCATGTAGTAGAGAGAAAAAAACTTAATAAGAGTATAACCAGTCTCAGTATAACTGTTTAAAGCCTACTATGACATTTGACCAAGCATGGAATGCATTTTCTTACTTGATTGACATTGGCGTGTACTAGCATTTGAAAATGGCATGTAGCATTTGGAAACGCCACTCATTATTTCCTACTTACTCTACTACTAACAGCTGAGAGGGGTGGTGGCAGCCACTCGTTGTCATTGTTATTTTACCCCTACCAGTCTACCACTACTTCCGTAGCATTGACCATATGATATGATATGAGCCCAAAACCAAAGGGTGCAAGAGAAGAAGAGAGATACCGGCCGTCTGTTGTCTGGTTAAGAAGTAGTTTTCCTTGCGGTTCATGGAATCATGCATGGTGCACTTTTCTACCAAGGAAAATACATAAAACCCATGCATGCATGCACTTTTTTCTCCTTCTTCTTCTTTTTTGACAAAAATTGCATGCGCTTTTCTTGTGGCTCTGGGGTCGTTGGCACTTGGTGGCGTCCAAAAGCTAAGGTAGCTACTGGATGCTGCCAGGAGTATACTAATTCGGTGCAGAATAGTCGTCTGGCGTGTGGGACCCGTGGCAAGGTTTGCCAGGTCGTACCTGGTGGGGTGCCGGCTTGGGTGTGGAGCAAGGGACAAATTAAGAGCGAGCCATATAATTGGCGCCACAATTCGTGTGGCTAGCCGCAGCCAGCAGCCAGATTTTTCTCCTATCTATCACCAGTTCAATAGTAACTCTACTCGCCTACTGATTACAACTAGTACAACCTATAGTCCCCTACAAGAAACTACCACCTCTATATCAAAATATAAGACATTTTTTAAGAGTAAACTACCCTACAAAACTGTAGTCCTCATGGTTCGGTTCACATGTGCTCATACACACACCCATACAATGAGCCGACAAAATGTAGTATCGACTGAGGCTAGGTTAAGTCTCAGTCGACTAAGATTTAGCAATATGTAGCCAAGATTCGAACAAGGTATAGGAACCAGAGAGTGACAAGAAAGGCCCAAGCAAGAAAGGCAAAAGGCACAAGAGAGGGACTAAGTCTGAAAAGCTAAACAACTAACCACCACCCGTAGACCATCAACCAAAGCAAAAGCATCGAGCAATGCCATGTTGCTAAGTCTCGCTGGACAAATTACTACTACTAGTGGGGAGGTCAAAGGCAAGTAGGCAAGTGAACAAAGCATGCACGCATGATCCGTCCCGTTTTGGAACGGGCACTAGCTCGCCGGCCAATCATCAACAAATGGAATCGGAATCCAGCTGCAGCAACCCTGGATACTTTCTGCTGAATATTCCCACTTGGGCCGAGCTGGGTTGCTTGCTTGCTTGCTTGCCGACAGGGACTTCTTGTTTAAAAGAAGATTAAGAAAACGTCGCGTTTGTTAAGTACCCCCTGTGTGCCCCATGACAAGACACATACATTTCCTATGAAAACAAACAACGCAAAGCTTGATCAAATTTACTGGAAAACCACCGGGAACTATAACAGTAGATATGTCTAATATGAAAACACATTTTAACATTTATTTAATGATATTCATCTAGTATTTATTCTTTTTGCGATGTTTAGTACGTGGTCAAACATTGTACCTTTCGACTTTTTATCAAAACCTTCTTTTCAAGCGAAGGAGGGGGTGTCTCTTATTATTGCCATAATTAATTAGCAGACGGTAATCCTGTATCCAATGTACTTACAAGAGTGATTCTCACTGCTTCTAATTATCTTAACATACGTGCTTCCCCATCATCAAAGTTTGTTTAGCCGTTATCATTACTAGGTTGAGCCACTAGCATCCGTCTGAGCCACGCATGAAAATTCCTTACCATGCAACATGCACATCATCAAAGAGTGACTAATGCGTTCTATGTAGGTTTTAAATCACAATACATTTAATTGTGACATCCATAGCTTTTCATATTAATATGTTGTTTCGGCATATGCAAAAAAATGTCACATAGTTTAAATCGTAAGTGTTGTATAAGTATTTCACACATATTTAGAAACTAGTATAATATATCAAACTCCCTAGAACGCGCGGGGTATCATCTAGTTAAGCCAGTGAGCGAATCACCAACTCATATCACTCATTTCTTGCTGTTGCGATTTTTAGGCGGTGGCAAGAAGGTCACGCGAGTGGAGGTGACGCTCGACGGCGGTGAGAGTTGGATGCTATGCACGCTGGACATCCCGGAGAAGTCCAACAAGTACGGCCGGTACTGGTGCTGGTGCTTCTGGTCCGTTGAGATCGAGGTGCTAGACCTCCTAGGCGCCAAGGAGGTGGCGGTGCGCGCATGGGACCAGACGCACAACACCCAGCCAGAGAAGCTCATCTGGAACCTCATGGGCATGATGAACAACTGCTGGTTCAAGGTGAAGATCAACGTGTGCCGCCCCCACAAGGGCGAGATCGGGCTGGTCTTCGAGCACCCCACGCAGCCCGGCAACCAGACCGGCGGCTGGATGGCGCGGCAGAAGCACCTGGAGACGGCCGAGGCGGCGGCGCCGGGGCTCAAGCGGAGCACCTCCACGCCGTTCATGAACACCGTCGCGGACAAGCAGTTCACCATGTCCGAGGTGCGCAAGCACGGGTCCAAGGAGTCGGCGTGGATCGTGGTGCACGGCCACGTCTACGACTGCACCGCCTTCCTCAAGGACCACCCCGGCGGCGCCGACAGCATCCTCATCAACGCGGGATCCGACTGCACCGAGGAGTTCGACGCCATCCACTCCGACAAGGCCAAGGCGCTCCTCGACACCTACCGCATCGGCGAGCTGATCACCACGGGCACCGGCTACAACTCCGACAACTCCGTGCACGGCGGGTCCAGCCTCTCCCACCTCGCCCCGATCCGGGAGGCCACCAAGGTCGCCGGCGCGCCCATCGCGCTCTCCAGCCCGCGCGAGAAGGTGCCCTGCCGCCTCGTGGAAAAGAAGGAGCTCTCCCACGACGTCCGCCTCTTCCGCTTCGCGCTGCCGTCGTCCGACCAGGTGCTCGGCCTCCCCGTCGGCAAGCACATCTTCGTCTGCGCCACCATCGACGGCAAGCTCTGCATGCGCGCCTACACGCCAACGAGCATGGTGGACGAGATCGGCCAGTTCGAGCTGCTCGTCAAGGTCTACTTCCGGGACGAGCACCCCAAGTTCCCCAACGGCGGGCTCATGACGCAGTACCTGGAGTCGCTCCAGCTCGGCTCCTGCATCGACGTCAAGGGCCCGCTGGGCCACGTGGAGTACACCGGCCGCGGCAACTTCGTCATCAACGGCAAGCAGCGGCGGGCGCGGCGGCTGGCCATGATCTGCGGCGGCAGCGGGATCACGCCCATGTACCAGGTGATCCAGGCCGTGCTGCGGGACCAGCCGGAGGACGAGACGGAGATGCACCTGGTGTACGCGAACCGGAGCGAGGACGACATCCTGCTGCGCGACGAGCTGGACCGGTGGGCGGCCGAGTACCCGGAGAGGCTCAAGGTGTGGTACGTGATCGACCAGGTGAAGCGGCCGGAGGACGGGTGGAGGTTCAGCGTGGGGTTCGTGACAGAGGACATCCTGCGGGCGCACGTCCCCGAGGGCGGCGACGACACCCTCGCGCTCGCCTGCGGGCCGCCGCCCATGATCAAGTTCGCCATCTCGCCCAACCTCGAGAAGATGAAGTACGACATGGCCAATTCTTTCATCTCCTTCTGATGAAACATGTTCTCTAGCATGCAGCTGCCTAAGCTATATACCACCGCGTGGACGCATCAATCTGTGGATGTACCCAATGTTTATACGTGTCTGTCCATCGTATTTGTTCATTAGAGAACCGTACGTGCGTGCATGCATGATTGCATGAATTATACAGTAGGTTGTACGTACGTACACTTGTGATGTGTACTCTTCCTTCCCTAGAGTATATTGGACATATACCGATGTTTTGCCCCTCAGCAAGGATGTGAAGTTTACGCGGCTCTGATTGGGGGTCTGCTTATTCCTTCATGTATACTACCTTACCTAGTATGTAAATAAGATTGATTATTCTTCTATCTTGTTCTTGAGGTCAGGAGAATATCCGAGAATAAACTAGAAATGGTTTGAAGAATGATAATACCACTGGTAGAAAAAGGGCCTATAGTCCCGGTTCGTAAGGGCCTTTAGTCCCGGTTCCTGAACCGGGACTAAAGTGTCGGTACTAATGCCCCGACCCTTTAGTCCCGGTTCAATCCAGAACCGGGACTGATGGGCCTCCACGTGGGCAGTGCGTAGAGCCCAGGCAGGAGACCTTTTGGTCCCGGTTGGTGCCACCAACCGGGACCAATAGGCATCTACGCGTCAGCATTTCTGTGGATGGGGTTTATGTTTTTTTTGAAAGGGAGGGGGGGGTTTGGGGGTTTTGGGGGTTAATTTAGATGTTTCATATATTGTGTTAGCTAGCTATAATTAATAGGGAGAAGTGTCCTCTCCTACGTCCGTGCTTGGTCGACGCTACGTACTATACATATGTATAGAGAGGACTAGACACGCTAGTTAGCTAGTAAGCAAACGAAGAAAACAAAAGATCGTCATGAACATATATGCATACAGAGAGAAGTGATATCGACCACCTCTCCTTCTCCGAGAGATTGGTCGAACAACAAGTTCTCGTATATCTATCCGACACTACCGGCTACATATATAAAATAATTATCTCTTACAAATATAATCATACGGACTCATGGTCCACATAGTATTCTCCGTCTTCAGCGATCACTTGGTCAAGAAAGAATGCCGCCAATTCCTCTTGAATTGCTCGCATGCGAGCTGGTGCTAGGAGTTCATACCGCTTCCGAAACATCCAATTTGAAGAAGGGGGTCAATACATATATATATGTGAATGAATGAAACTCAATACAAATGATGGTAATAAAATAAAATTGTGAATGTTGTTATTTACGTACTTCATATTATTCGTCAGAGTACCCGCCCCGCTCACAGGTCGTGTGGCGGATGGACTCGCAGACGTAGTATCCACAGAAATCATTCCCTTTTTCCTGCCACAACCACTTTACAAGAAATAGAGGTCAATCAAACTGATAAGCAAGAATGCTAAATGGTATTGATGAAACTAGCGCTTGAATCACTAGGAGATGCGCGGAACATGCTACTATAGTACTTACTTTCGGGTGTCTAAATTCCAGCTCCTTCGGCAGTCCCGGAACTTTTCTGGTGAATTTTCTCCAAACCCTGCCGGACAAAGAAAACAATTACTTGATATCAGGAAATGAACAAAGTTGCTGATATGGTGGATAATGATCGATTTAACTTACTTCTTGAGGATTTCAGTCATGTCCGCATACTCCTAGGGATCTTTTCGTTTAGAGTCCAAGACGGTTACTACTCCCTGCTCAAGCCTAATCTCTAGGAGAATATAGTGGAAACTGCACACGCATGCATAACTCATCAATTACATTACTATAACCTGGACTAATATATAAGGGAAACCGAATATGCACAAGACAGTAACACTCACTTGAAGTTGTAAGGAAAGAGTATTATATCTTTGTTTTCATTTTTTTGAATGATTGTAGCAAGTTGGCCTCGGTATCTCCGGGACGATGTTCAACCTCAGTTGCATCTATGAGATATGTGTTAACGAACCCAATATCACCGATTTGTCTTTTCTTCAATTCGCGATCTTCATTCTGCATAATATAGTGAGGATAATTATAAATACATGCAATGAAAGAGATGAGTTATATAGAGAGACTTAATGACAGAAGTAGTAGTACTTACAGACAGTAGCAGGTGATCATTGTTTTATCGAGGGCTAATTGATTGAAAAACTGATAGAACTCCTCAAATGAAATAGGCAACAGTTTAATTCCAACGAGGTCATGCTCCGGTTTAACTCTCGCATACAAAGTACTCCTCCCCCCAGACTCTCTGCAGATTTTCAAGTACCAATCATGTAATCTTCGCATCATCGTTGTTAAAGATTTTTCATCTTTGACGAGAGGCTTCCCGTACTCGTATCTGTGTATCTGCACCTCCATGGTATCATAATGTACATCGTCGGGCAGGTAATCGTCAACATTGCCATAACCGGGCACCATCCTCGGATCGACGATGTCGCTAGGCACCTTGAGGGGGGGGGGCACGATTGCTTCGCTTGTTCGCCGAGCTGGGCAATTTGTTTCCCAGCTGCTCGTCGTTCTTTCAGCCTTTGATCACTGACTGTACTTCCCGACCGCTCCGCTTCAGCCCATGTCTTTGCAATAATGCGCTCATAGTTGCCTTTCGGCGGAGACTTGGGTGGTTTTGCCAAGGCAACCAGAGTGCGCTTCACTTTCACCGGATCTACCTTCTCCTCCGGAGGTGGATGTCTCTTTGCTCTCAACCCTTGAAACCAGTCATCCACTTCGGTTCGCGCGATCTCGGCGTTCTCCTCCGGGGTCCTCTCATATGGTAACTTCTCTGGAGTCTTCAGAGAAGGACCGAATTTGTATGTCCTCCCGCCTCTGGTTGTACTGCTAGACGCTGACCGAGCAGACAGAGCGGTTGTCTTCTTTACTTGCTTACGAGGCGGAGGATAAGGACTACGACGCGCTGGAGCAGCTGGAGCGGCGGCAGGTCTCTTCCGCCCTTGCTGACGAGGCGGAGAAGGAGGAGGCTGGCTGCTCGGGCGCGTCGGCGCAGGCGGAGAAGGAGGCGGAGTGCCGCCACGCGCCGGAGAAGGAGCTGGCCGAGGGCCCTGATTGTCACTCGCCGGAGGAGGAGGCGGTGGAGGAGGCGGAGTGCCCTGACTTGCCGGAGGAGGAGGAGGAGGCGGAGGCGGAGGCGTCCAGTTCGGAAGGTTGATGAGCTCCTTCCGCCATAGGCATGGAGTCTTCAGAGCAGACCCCAGCCGAGTCTCCCCTTCACCGGTAGGGTGGTCAAGCTGGAGGTCCTCAAATCCCTCCGTTATTTCATCCACCATCACCCTAGCATATCCTTCTGGAATTGGCCGGCAGTGAAAAGTTGCACCGGGTTCAGTAGGATAAACAGAGCCAACAGCCGCCTTGACCTTCAAATTCATCCATTGGGTCATAAGGTGGCAATTTTGAGACTCCGTGATAGCATCCACGGGATAGCTGGCAGGAGCCATCAAGGCATGCTCCGGCTGAAGCAGCTCGGTGGAAGCCACGCTGCTTCTGCGCTAAGATGGCGGGGTAGCTTCGGGGGAGGCTTCGGTAGTACGTTTGCTGCGATTTGCTTCTCGTTCCTCTATCGCGTCTACCCTTGCTTGCAGCGCCTGCATTTGGGTCTGCTGCACTTTTTTCCTCCTCTCATGGGATTTGTAACCGCCTGCGTCTGGAAACCCAACCTTCCGCGGAATGGAGCCTGGCGTGCCTCGTGTCCGTCCAGGGTGCTCAGGATTCCCGAGGGCCATTGTGAGCTCGTCGTTCTCTCTGTCTGGAAAGAACATCCCTTGTTGCGCTGCTTCGATATACTGCTTAAGCTTCCTGACTGGTATGTCCATTTGACCGTTCGTCCAAATGCACTTCCCTGTTACAGGGTCCAAGGTTCCGCCAGCCCCGAAGAACCAAGTCCGGCAATGGTCTGGCCAGCTAATTGTCTCTGGTTCGATCCCTTTATGAACCAGATCATTCTCAGTCTTGGCCCACTTAGGCCGGGCTACGAGGTAGCCACCTGACCCCGTGCGATGGTGAAGCATCTTCTTCGCAGCATTTTGCTTGTTTGTCGCCGACATCTTCTTACTCTTTTCCAATGTCTTGTGGGCCACAAATGCGGGTCAGTGATCTCTGATCTTCTCATATCTGCCCTTGAATTCTGGTGTCTCATTATTTTCGACAAACTTATTCAGCTCTTTCTTCCACCTCCTGAATAGTTCTGCCATCCTCTTAAGAGCAAAAGACTTGATTAATTTCTCTTTAATTGGGTTCTCTGGATTATCCTCTGGCGGTAGGGTGAAATTTGACTTCAGCTCAGTCCAAAGATCATTTTTCTGCATATCATTGACATAAGACACCTCAGGGTCTTCTGTAACCGGCTTAAACCATTGCTGGATGCTTATCGGGATCTTGTCCCTAACCAGAACCCCGCACTGAGCAACAAATGCGCTCTTTGTCCGAAGGGGTTCAATCGGTTGGCCGTCGGGCGCTATTGCTATGATCTCAAACTTTTCATCTGATCTCAACTTTTTCTTCGGGCCTCGTCTCTTTACCGAAGTTGTGCTCGATACGGAGGGCTAGAAAAAAGAACAAAGACTTAATTAATATGTGTACATACCAAAACAATGAATGCATCAATCAGCTAGTCAGCACAGGCTTAACTAATATATATACCTGGCCGGACTCGGTTCGGTCACCGGAGCCGTCATCACGGTCTCCTTCTTGCACCAGCATTGGGTCACCAGAGCCGTCCGCATGTTCTTCTTCTTGCACCGACATTAGGTCACCGTAGCCAGCTTGTTCACCCTCTCCTTCCAGACCATCGGTGTCGTTGAGAAACAACGAGACGGCATCACTTCCTTCTGCGATTATGTCCCTCAACAACGCTTCTTTTGCTTCGTCTAGGGCGGTGTCCATAGTTTCTACAAATATTTACAACATGGAAATTATTATTCAAACATGACAGATGGATATATTAGTGCCAAACGTAGAACTAGCTACCTAATCATAGTAAGCTATCGGGAGGGGGTATATATCTACTCCTCTATTCTTTCTTCT